CCAAACAGGAAGAAGTGAAGACCCAACAGGGAGACTTTGGGGAGAATTTAAGCATCACATTAATGCTTTATATGAATAAATTTCCCAGCATCTATTCCTTTCAGTTATTTTTTTAGCCTTCTGCAGGACAATTGTTAAGGTGGCATTTCCTTGCCTTGCGCTGTGGTATGAATTACCGGTAATTGAAAAACAATACCTTGATAAAATTTTGCTGTATCTCAAACAGACAAAATTCTGTTTTGATTTCTTACAATTGTGTTTAATTACACTAAATGAAGCAAGAACCTAGGACAACCCACCTCCAAAAATAAACTGTTGACACAGAGATATGTCTCGCCTTTTGGTAATTCTAATAATGCAAATGTTGAAATTAACATAACAATACATTAACATTTAAGTTATGCAAATATTCAAAGTCAATGAACCATGACTGAAGATACATGGCTAAACAATCTCCATAGAAATGAGGTGTGCCAATGCTAATACAACTGCATACCAAATACCATTGAATTATCATAAGTCGTTCCCCTTAAACAAACCTAAACACAAACATTATCTTGTAAACTATGTAAAAGTTTCAACGTCAATGAACCATGCTGAGGGGGTTGGGCTATATAATCTCCATTGAAACCAGACTTGCAAACTAAATAAATTTGCATACCATTTATCACTGACTTAACATTAGCATTTCATCTTAAACTGATCTAATCACAAACTAATACATGTAACATGTTTAAACAAAGCAAAAGTTTCAAAGTCAATATACCATGACTGAGGGGGCACCGCCAAATATTCTCCATGGAAATTATATGTGCCAATGCTAATACAGATGCATACCAAATATCATTAACCTAACACTAGTGGTTCACAATAAAGTAGACCTAATCACAAACTTATACATTGTTGACACCACTGCCGGAAACAGCATACCTACGTCTCGCTTCTTGACTCCACTTTTTGGCAAGACAAAAACCAAGAGTATTATTTTATAGATAATTTATAATGCGAATTCAGAAAAAAATACTGTTCGTCACTTGAAAACTGTCTACTGGAACTCTGGTAATTTCAAATTGTGTGTGATTGGTTGCAGAATTTTGATGGAAAAATATGTTTTTCATCACCAAGTACAATGTAGCAGTTGAAAATGCTTGTAAATAATTCTAGAACACTTCAGTAGTGTTAAAATATAACAAAATCACAAAAAATAACATTGGAAAAGTTGTGATTGTCATTAATGGGAAACTGTATAAGAAAGTGTAAATCACAAACAAATATGGTGAGAGTTGACAGAAAATCTATACAACTTTGGAAGTAAAATAGTGCAGTCCTTTAGTAAAATGCTGTTAAATTTATTCTGACATCACATTAATGTTTAAAGGACCTTTAGCTAAAACAAAACACATGCAGCAGTCTGAAACACCAAATATGAACAAATCACTATTTTTGTTTTGCAGTTTATACATTGTTGTCCTGGTTACCTGCCGACTTGACACTTTGTACAAATGTACATTGCTTAAATACAAGCAAATTCCAGTTGCTGTTATGCAATGATGTAAAAATGAGAAATTTTTAATGAAGCATTTAATTTTGATATTTATCAGTTAATATTAGATTTTTACATTAAAATTGCATATAATATGGATTGGAGTTTTGAAAAGAAAAAAGGGAGCCTACTACAATTTCAATTAAACTAAGATGGCAGAACTTCAATGTAATTTATAAACAAACATCACAAAATTGAGTTTTCTCTTTTTTCTTGCTTAAAGTACTCTATAATCTGCACCTTATCTTGCTATTTTAATGTTAGAGTACAAGACAGTGTACAATTCTAGACCGAATTCAGGTGCAACATGTTTATTTCATCCAATATTGGAATCATGCACATTTTAAAAAAATTGTAAGGGTTCCGCGGAACCCAGTGTCTCGCCTACTTTTTCTGTTAATCGCAGGCTCAACAAAAATGAGGAAGTAAATCAATAAAAATATTCCTCTTGATACTATCTTTTGATTGTAAGAAGCTTCTGTCCAAGTTTGGTAAAAATCCAGGATAGTTTATGAATCTAATAAATGTTTAAAAACTTTAACTGCAGACTGAATGTAATGTTAACTGGAAGAAAACAAAATTTCCTTCTAGATACTAGCATTTGATCATAAACAAGCTTCTGTCCAAGTTTGGTACAAATCCAAAATAGTATAAGAAAGTTATCAAAATTTTAAAAACTTTAACCACAGAGTAAATGTGTTGTTTCCTGGCAGAAAATCTAAGTCCATTTAAAAGTAAAATACCGAAAAAATGGACTTATTTTTTTACAAAATTTCCTTCCAGATACTAGCTTTTGATCATAAACAAGCTTCTGTCCAAGTTTGGTACAAATCCAAAATAGTATAAGAAAGTTATTAAAATTTTAAAAACTTTAACCACAGAGTGAATGTGTTGTTTCCTGGCAGAAAATCTAAGTCCATTTAAAAGTAAAATAAGGAAAAAATTGATTTTTTTTTTTACAAAATTTACTTCTGGATACTATCTTATGATCTTAAACAAGCTTCTGTCCAAGTTTGGTACAAACCCAGGATAGTTTAAGAAAGATATTAAAATTTTTAAAAATTTAACCACAGAGTGAATGTTATATTTCCCGGCAGAAAAACTAAGTCCATTTATAAGTAAAATACGGAAAAAATGGAATTTTATTTTTACAAAATTTACTTCTGGATACTATCTTATGATCATAAACAAGCTTCTGTCCAAGTTTGGTAGAAATCCAGGATAGTTTAAGAAAGTTATTAAAATTTCAAAAACTTAACCACAGAGTGAATATTTGTGGACGCCGCCGCCGACGACGGAATGTAGGATCACTATGTCTCGCTTTTTCGACTAAAGTTGAAGGCTCGACAAAAATCATGAGGCGACATTAAGGAATTTTACTGAAAATCTAGGGCAGCATAAACTTCTCCTTGGAGCTTCTTTAAAGCGAAGTCATATATTGTCTGGCGACAAAATTGATCACTTGGCCTGGTGTGGTGAACCCCTGAACTGTTAGTAAGTCATTTGGCAAACCCCTGCATTAATATTTCAATCCATGTAAATACAATGGCTATGGATTGCTCAATCTAATATTAAATTGTTATCAATATAAAGTAAAATATCTTGAAACAAAAATAAATACATTGTAGCAATACAAATGAAATGCGCTGCGGGGTGCAGCTTGATACTACCACAGAGGTCAAACCCTGAACAGTTGGGGCAAGTATGGACAATTATTATATATTTGACATAGCATAGTTTCTGACAAATGTCTGACACAGAATGAAGGTGGTCTCTGAACTTAAAAATTTGACATTTACCTAATATGGTCCAATATCCAAAATCTAAATACATGGTTAGAATCCCAACAATTTAATTTTTGATGAAATCAAACAAAGTTTAATTTTGGACCCTTTGGACCTCAATGTGGACCAATTTGATAGCAGGCCCATATTCCAAAATCTAAATACACGATAAGATTCAGTATATCCAAGAACCAATGTGGACCATCTAAAAACAGGGCCCAAAATTAAAAATCTAATTACACAGTTAGGTTCAACACATTTAAGAACCCCAAGAATTCAAGACTTTCAATTGAAACCCCATTGAAATTGGTCGTTATACAATGTACATGATATACCAAGAATTTGAAAAGTAATGTTTTTGGCCCCTTTTTCCTAAACAGTTAGGGCCATAAACCCCATAATCAATCAGGGTTGGCAAAGTATTACCCGGGCGGGAAAACCCGGGTCCAGGTTTTCCCGGGCTTGGCAATACTCCTAGAAACGGGTAATACTGGGCATTACTGGATAATATGATTTTTCAAGCTTATTTTTACACAAAATAGTAAAGACTTGTTGTAGTTTAATACTATTATAGCTAAATAAATACATTTTATACAGATAACCATTGAGAGTCAGTCCTGAAGATTGAAAATTCAATTTCTTCCTTTTCTCCACTAATTCTATGTAGGCAGAATACAAGTTTTGGACATTTCAGGATACATATGTACCTTGTTAATTTCCAAGCTTTGTTTCAATATTAAATCCATTGTTTAAGTTGAAAAAATGCATTTTATTGCAGTGTTTAAGTGAATTGTAAATTTTAATTGTTACACAATCATATTGCTAAATAAACACCCTGAGGGGAAAGGCCATGAACACTTATAATCTGAATAAGTACTTATTAATTGGTGAAGTACATAAACATATACTAAAACTTAGTAAACATTTTTAGTAATGAACAAAAAATTTTTAAAAGTAATTTTCCTAACATAGAATTGTTAATTCTTAATATTAGTTATATTTTTTAAAAAAACAAATTGAAATGTTTGACCAGTATTGCCCAGTAAAACCCAGTAAAACCTTGGGGAAAATACTCATAAAACCCGTGTTTTTGCCAACCCTGTAATCAATAGCAACCTTTCTTTTTTGTTATTGAACCTTGTGGTACAATTTTATAGTGATACATGTACATAGACTTATTCTTAAGTTTTTTACGGAAGCCAGAAAATCCTTGTTTTTTGGCCCCTCATTCGTAAAGTTAGGCCCTAACTCCCAAAATCAATTCTAACCTTCCTTTTCAGGTATGGAACCTTGTGGTACATTGTACAATTTCATAGATATCCATACACAAGGGGGGGTAGGACCTTTATCGGGACTCCAGGATCAGGTGTTTTTAAGCTCGGGATTTCGGGATTGATCCTTTCGGGATCCGGGAATTCTTTTTTCGAATTTTGGGATGTCGGGATTTTAATTTTTTTAAATTCGGGACCTCGGGATTTCGGGATCAGGACCCCTCCTACCCCCCTCTATACACTTATACACAAGTTATTGTCTACACATGAACATACAATGTATGCAAGACAGTAAACTACATTTATGTCCATAGACAAAAAATGCAAAAAAAATAAGTACATGTATTAAGCTAAATGCACATATTGCTTATGCTGAACTATTTTTAATGAAATCGTTCATACCTCCCTTGACAGACCATCAAACTGAAAGTCATACTGACTATTTACACTAGATGAGACAGAATTACTTGTGCTACATGTACTGTCAACACCAAGAACAACTTCTTCATATTGCACATTATCATTGCTATCTAAGTTCTGATTGTTGTTGCTTGATTCAACATCACTCTGGTCATCAGTGTTTGTTTCTGACTGTACATTATTGTTATTGTTTTGCTCTGCTGGTGTCCTTACAATTTCTGGTATATTATTCAAACCAACCAGAAATGTCTCTATTTGTTGAGCTGAATGTGATCGTTGCCATACAGAAAAACGTCTTAAAGATCGTAAATCTTGAATAAGATTTTGATATGTCAAATCACTGTAAATTGATTTAGGATTACCACCGCCATAGAAAGAATTTATGTTGTTGTTGATGAAGTTAGTTGGAGTTAATGCAGCTGATGATCCAAGAATAATTTCTTGCACTTCTGGATAATTTACATAATGAATGTTCATGTAGTTATTTAAGTCAGTCCTCAACAAACTCAGAACTATGGCAATTTGAACAAGTCCATCAACAAAGTAGTCTTTAAGCATCTTGTCGAATACAGCAGGAAGTACTTTTGTGAAATTCCTGTCAGAAGTTCAATATTGTTTCGGTATCTTATCTTCACTTCGTTAATTTTTATTAATAAACTAGAGAAAATTGCTAATCCATAATTTCTTAAAGTTTGGTAGACATTTCAAATGATTGTTAGTTTATAAATAAAACTGAAATCAACAATGCCTTTGTTCCCATTTTAACCAGGGAGCACACGCGGCTGCCATGACAGCTGCTACAGGGAGAAAATAGGCCAGTTTCACAAAAGTTTGATGTTTTATGTGTATAAATTGCGAAGTCTGGACTTTAAAAAGATAAGTTTGTATCGTAATTGTGAGAGATTTCAACTAAAATTGCGTGCAACACCCTGTTTCTTCTAGAATCTTCATAACAAATGTGATTCAGCGAATTAGAAAATGACGTCAAATATTTCGGGTTCTCTTAAGAACTTTCATTGTAACGGAAAAAAGTTCAAGTTACTCCGAATGACAACTTCCGCTCACCTTTGCTAATTTGTTTCCGGGTAACAAACAGGTGAACCGAGAAATTGATTAAACTAGAGAGCCTCTAATGACCTTTTCGCTTCATCTCCCACCAATTTGTATTTTAAATAATCAAACAAATTTTGAGATTTTCAAAAATATCTGAAAAAGAAGTAAAATATGACACACTAGTCATCACTCCATATTTCTATTGACATTTTACAAAACTGGGTCATACAAATTCACAGTGAAAATGTAATGAACCTTTAGACTGATATATATACGATGAAATCATTTTAATGATAACTAAACAAGCAAACTTACTTGTGTCAAAGATGTACTATCTACTGACATAACAGGTTCTATTTCCATCATCTTGACTATTTTGTATCAATAACACACGTGACCTAATTCACAAGGCAATACACAGATGATAACAGCCTGATTTACTCCTGTTTTTCCTGTTCACCTGGGATTTGTTACTAATTGAAAATACATTGAATTAATTTGATAAAATCCACAGTTTATGTCGCGAAAAATACATTTCCAGTGAGTCTAAAATCCATATACTGTTTCACTTTGATAACACCTTAGACCTCTCAATACACCATTTAATGACAATCCTGACTATGTAAGAATTACAGAAAACGATTGGATAATAGTACCACGTGATAATAGTGTTTAATATATACGGTTCATTGTTCATTGACAAGCATTGTATTATTAAGTTTTCGTTTATTTTCTATGCATACACTAATTTATTGAAATTACTTTTTCAATACCGTGTTTCAATGAAACCGCCCGGCCGAAAATTGTAATATAAGGGTCCGAAATAAAACTTGTTAAATCCGTTTTTATTTCATATTTACCGTATGAAGAACTGCATTAGGCTATCAGAGCCGGATGAAAGATACTTGCCTAGAATTTTGTACCATCAAACATATATTCATTTACAGTAGGATACATGTTTGATGTTAGAAAAAACGGGTGTGGTCAACGCTTCATTAAAAATACCACACATTTTAATAACACTTTATTTAATAAAGCCCTAAGAGTGGAACCTATAGTCATGATAGTCACGACCAGCAATGTCAATAGTAGCTTCTCCTGGGAAATCAAAACCTCTGACGGTCGAACTTTTTCAAGAGACTTTTTCGCGGGAAGTAAATAATTGCAGAACGAAATGCCGGTTTACTGGCGATGGTAATCAGGCAGAGAGTTCAATACCTAACGTAGTTGAAATAAAAGTACAGAAGCTGCACGTCAACATTAATTACTCTTCGAAGTATGTATGCATTACTTAATTCTATATATGAAAATGCAAGGATGTTTTCTACCCCTGCAAGCCTAGCTTTCTCCATTTTCTTTTTTTTCTTCTACTACTTTTTTTTTGTTGCCAAAAAATCAGACGAATTGCCTCGTCTGCCTCATCGGTAGTCAGGGGCGTAGCTCAGTAGGCCAATATGATGTGTACTCAATGCCGGAGCAGGAATTGAAACTGTAAGGGGTTTGGGAGGGGGGGCTGAAGGGGGCTGAAGGCCCCCAGAACCTCTGGGTAAATGGTAAAATCCTGCATTCTCGCAATTTCCTGGGACTTAAAATGACCTCACCGAAATCTTATTTTCATGAGTAACAAGTCAACTTTTGAAAAAAAAAAAATGAATATTGATTAGAGAAAAAAAAACAAGTACTGTTGGCACAGTTGGCTTAGGAATTTGGATTTTCTAATGTGTAGTGGGTTGAGCTTGATTAAATTAAATTAAAAATGTCATATCATTAAATGATATTCGTTGCTAGTTAGTTAAGGTTAAAAGGGGTGGTAAAGGGTGGTATTTGCATGGAAAAAACGTTAAATGCAAAGAAGTAAAAACAGTTTCACGGTGAACGTGAAATAATTTCGTCCATGAACGTTGATAAAAAAAGTACTATATAACGAACGCATGTCATAGGTTGGAAACCTTTACATGTAACTGGCAAATATATAATATTTACGTTTTAAGTCCTGAAATCTATAAGGTAAATGATCAAATTATTTCCGATTTCTTTTTATTAACTTCCAAAACGATAGTCTTTTAATTTTACCAAGCACGGAAAACAAGGACTTTAAATCTCGAAGCATGGAAAATAAGCACTTTTAATCTCGAAGCACGGAAAACAAGGACTTAAATTTCGAAGCATGGAAAATAAGCACTTTTAATCTCGAAGCACGTATAACTAAGTTAGGGGAACACTTTGAACGAGGCACCCGTCTTGCACAACTGAACGTACAAATAAAAAAAAGTAAAAACTCGTTGATCGTCAATTTAAATTTAAAAAAACGGCAAGCACGATGCACGAAAATTACCCTTTACCAACCTTGTTAAACTTAAGTCTGACTGGTCTGTTTAAAAAAATCTGTTATGACGACGTAATATAATTAAGACTATACATACCTCACAGGAAAACCATGAGAATGAATCGGTGTTCATGGTCTCTTTATAACGTCATATTTTATTTCGCCAGTTATTTTGAAATCTTCAGAAAAGATGTCAGGACTGGGTGAGGAGGCATAGAATTTTTTTCTGACACCTCGAGGACCATTTTAATTGTTTGCATCAGCAACATATAATCATGATGCTGGTTCCGTAAATGAAAAGTAATTTCAGGTATGGAATATAGCAACAAAGTGATTATTAACATGTTTAATTTGTAAAATAGTTTTTAATTTAATTTATTACTTTATTTTTATTTTTACTAGATTTACCATATTTTATTTTTGTAAAATTTTCGATGTGTACGCAATTGCGTTTTTGCGTACGGGTTGCTACGCGCCTGGTAGTTACGGCCATGTTCGTCAATGTAGCTTCCTAACCTTCGCATGAATCTTTATATCATTTTGGATTTGCTGTTTGATAAATTATATTTTCCAATTAATTTACAGTCTCGATTGCAATCAGTTTTGTAAAATCAATTGACGTGGACAGTATTACTTTAACTTCCCTAGCTTAAAAATGGTCACATCCTCGTATAGTCTGGGAATAGTATATAATGATAATAATAATATTTTATTCAATAAAATATCAAGCATATGAGTTTTACAATACACAACATACAATACTTAAAGACAATACTAACACATACTTTGTAAAATATAATGGAATTTTATGAGTGTAGTACCCTTAAGTGTATGGAAAAAAATTGCTGATATTTTATCAGGGATAACCCATAAAAGCTCTAAAGCTTGTTTCCAATGGGGTCCCTTCGTGTAAACGGCTTAATAGTTTCGACATATAAAAAATGATAACACACAAATCAATATGACAAAAAAAAAAAACTTCATATAAAAGATCATAGAAATAATTTAAATAAATAATAAGTTTGATAATATAAAAAGTAGTCTGATGAAGCCGCACTATAACTTTTGGTCAAGTACTTTTTGACGCTAATTTTTAATTTCTTATTTTTTTTAACATTATTTGGCAACATATTCCAATCTTGTATGCCATTAAAGTAAAATGTATCTTTTTGTTGACTTTTTACTGGTGGAACCCAGAAGTTATATTCACTAGTTCGTGTGAAATGATGACGAAAATGTCTCACCGTTGTAAAATTTGTATACATATGACTAGAACAATGGTGGTAATAGATATTATGAACATTGTTTAATCTCAATTGTTTAACACGATTTTCAATATTAACATAACCAATACTATTCAATACATTATGGTCAACTTTTGATCACATCCAGTATTTTTTGTAAATCTAACACATTTGTTTTGTAATACTTGTAGCTTTATATCTTTATATTTTTTGCTGACACCAGCATACCATGCAGAACAGGCATAGTCAAAATGACATTGAATTAAAGCTGTAACTAAGCTGACTATATAGTCAATATATTAAGTCACAGGAATAGTTTACATTGATACACAATGTTCGGTATTTACAAATTGAACATTAAAACTCATAACACTTGAATACCAAGAAGTTGTACAATAATTCAGCGAATCATATTCATATTTCCAATCTATTCACTTTGGCTTTTATGACATTATGAAGAGAGTATCTCCAAAACGGTATCGGAACTTTTTAGTACAAATTTGATATACATGAAAAATAATATATCATGGTAGTGGTATTTTTCTAAATTTGAGGTAGGGCCAATTTCCCCTGAAATTTTTCACAGAAGGGCCAATTTCAAAAAGTGCTGAAAGAATAAGAATAAAAACATGAAATAAAAATGTTTTTTGGTCAATATCTCGATTTTTATGTCTGGAAAAATACTTAATTTAACCTCCAAAAAGGATGAAAGTCAAATATGCGGAATTTACCGTGTTTTTAGGTTGGAAAAACTGGGAATCCCCCTGGAAGGACACTTCAAACCAAAACAAAGTTATGTTTTTTGTTGTTGTAATTTATACAACTTTTCCCCTAAAAATTGAAATAGGTTTCGTGGCTCCATCGGTAGCGCTTAAAACTGTAAAGAATGGATTGTTTTTAAGATGGGGTTCAAATCTCACGCTAATTTTTCTCATTTTTTATGTTGAAATATTAAAATGATATGTTTCTATCACATTGTTTCGGATGTTTGTTTAATTCAAAGAGTCACACTGAAGTAGGTGCTTGCACATAACCAATAACACGATAATTGATTATATAGCAATGAAGCCCAAATGTTGTGTGTGTTATACACATAACGAAAAAAGGCCATAGCAGAAAAATTTCAAAACAACAAAAATATTTTTTCTAAATCTTGAACAAGAACGTTTTAGAAAATGGTATGATATGTAACAAATGCAGACAGTAATTTTATCGCCAATCCACCAACTGTGTAGATACTAGTACTGGCATTGTTACATTGTACCACCGTCCCTACACCGGAACCTAAGTCATCAGAAAATGAAACAACACCACAGAAAAAATCAATTGCACTACCAATCGTGACTGTAGGTAAAACATCAAGA